TGTAAATCTCTCTTCCCTTCCAACTGTCGTTGGTCGGCTCACATCTACTTTCTTCTTTCCTTGGGAAGCGTCTTTCTCCAAAACTTGTATGTCCTTTTTGGCATCCTTCAGAACTTCCTCCGGCTCTTTAGTAGTTTTTTTCGTGAGAATTTGGGATGCAATACCAGTAAAGGTGTTTTCTTCTTCTTCTTTCTTGCACTGCGCCTCAGCAACTGCAAATACGTCATTCTCCACTTTTAGAAGTCCGGGAACACCCAATGATTTCACAGCTTCCTTAACGTCAGTGATGCCTTCCCATTTAAACTGGACAGAAGATGACTCCTTCACATCCGCGCTAGCAGCTCCTCTGCCGCAGAACATCACCATAACAAGAAAGATTAGCACCGCAGAACAGAAGTGATGCCGGGACATTCTGGGCCTCCGCGGCTCACTCTCTCTTCCTTCCCTCCTCCTTCCGCTGGATCCGGTCACGCGGCGAAGGCTGTGTGTGCGGGGTGCCTCCACAGAAGCAACACGTGAGAGCATATAAATATGTGTGTGTGGGCGGTGTGTGTGCTGCTGTTGGTCCTTTTGGAGCTTTCGAAGTTCACAGTAGCGTTTAGCGCTTGCTTTCCTTCCTAGTGTGTGTTCGTGAGAAGTAAAGAAAAAAACACGCCAAGAAAAGAGGATGAAACAGTGAACACCGCCACCCATCCACAGTGAGTGGCACCATCATTTCCGCCGCAGTCACTCCCAACAACAACAACTCACGCACACAGGCAAACGGAACAGGAGAAGGAAGAACAGTACTCCGGGAACACACAGCGACGGTCATCACCAGTAGCAGGAGTCACGGCGGTGCTTCTGCCACGCGTCAGCACAAAACAAGCGACGCCCAAACAAAAAACACAACCGGCGAAATGCAAAACAGCACAGCCGCCCTTCACAGCACCCACGCGCTGCCGCCAGTCGTATTGCTGTTGTCTCCTCCAACGCACCCGCACATCACCCCGGACAGCCGGAAAATCCCTCATCAACCGATACACAGCGCAAAAAACGCGTCGGCAGGTGCAGCAGTTGTTATGCGGGAATCGCTCCACATTTGTCTCAGGCACTTTCAACGCCACACGACTCACTGGCTGCACGCCGCAAACATAACAACCGCATCACGTCGAAGTGACGCATTGCGGGCTCACGACCTCCTTCCTTTCGAGAGCCGCCACAGAAAGAATCTTGTGCGTGTGTTCTCAGCGTACACGCCACTCCACAGCGTGTGCAACATGGTGTGTGTGTGTGCATGTGCTTGTGTGTTTGGCAGCGCCTATAATTGCAGAGCAGCTGTGCGCCACAAGAGAGTCAGAAGAAAGCAACGGCAGAGAGAGGCAGATAGCACACACGCACAAATTACTCATATCATCACACACAAACACACACACGCAGCCCGCGGAATGGGTGCTCTCAACCACAAAACAATGAAAAACAAAACAAAAAGCCGAAGCGTGGGACGACCAGCGCACACACTCTCATTGCTCCCGTAAAGCAAAACACACACACAGGGAGAGAAAGAGAGAGTGAGAGGTCGCCCACTCAATGCAATAAAAACAAAACAGAAACAGTTACGGTGCTCCGCCCATGCAGCCAGGCAGGACGGCAGCGGTGCGTGTCGTGCAAAAGAGAGCACCAACGGGCCTGCATGGGTGTGCATGCAATACATACAATGGGCACATTATGTGTGTGCTTCGTGGGATGAGGTGAGGGCGAGAGTCCATGCAAGGGGACACACACAGAGAGAGTGGGTGAAAGACGAGTGTGTGTGCGGGCGGTGCATGGCGCTCTCTCACTCACTCTCACGCGGCCACCACCACAGCAGCAGCAGCACACGCAACAAGAAGAAGAAACAAAAGAGGAGAGGTGGTGTGGGAGACAGCGGTGCTGCCGTCACTGTCGCCAGGCGTCGTGTTTATTTTATTAGTGGCGTTTGCACCACTTGTGAATCCTTGTTTTTTGTCTGTAGGATTCCCTTGGTGTTGTTTCTTTTGTTGTTCTCGTTCCGCTTCTGTTTCATCATCTTTTTCTTCTTCAGCCTTTTGTTTGATTCCTGTCGGAGTTTCTCCTGCATGTGTGCGTTGGACTTCCTGCTGAATATCAGTTGAATTTACTTTCGGGGTACCTGAGACATGTACAGCTTCTTCCCTCACTTGATCCCGATGCCTTTCATTTCTTCCTTCATAACCCTCAACACCTCCTTCTTCCCCTTCTTCCATTTCTTTAGAACCATCACTGCCTTTGTGTTCTCCCGGAGAATAATCTCCTGCAGGGTTACTGGGTGTTATTTCTTCAACGATTGTTTGTTCTTCATTTCCCTGCGTCGGTTGATTTCCTTCTCCATTTCTTGTATCCTGTTCTCGGACTGGAATTTTTTGTTGTTGCGGCTGTAGTCCGATTGCTTCTTTTTCGTTGGTTCCTTCCGCTTCATCAACAACCGTTTCTTTTTCTGATGGATTTTGTCTTTCAACTTCGACGTGGCGTTGATTTTCTTTTTGCGGTTCACTTTCATTTGCTTTTTTCAGTTTTCCATTATTGGCTTGTGGCTGTACTCCTCCTCCTTTTGGTGGTGTTGGTGGAGATGGTCCTTCTTCTTCATCCTCTCCCTCATCATCATCATCAGAAATTTCTTCTTGTTCGGCCAAAGACACTTTTATAAGCGTTTCTTCGGTTTTGTCGTTAATATCTGATGCTTTTAAATCTGAGTTTTTCAACACCTCCGGTACAATTGGTTGTGATCCCTGCAAACTCTTAGCGCCACCCCCAGACGCACCAGGCAGAACTCCACCTGCACTCTCCTCAGCACAACCGCCGGCACCGCACCACAGCACGCAGAGGGCACACACCAGCAGCACACGGCCAGTCATCATCATCGCCATCATCACTCCTGTCACTTGAGTGTAGCCTTAAGCACAAAATAACTCCCCGTCAACGCAGAGCGGAAGCAAAAAGAGAGACATGTCATACAGCCACGCACCGTCCCTTCCAGCAATGAGATTCACACACCGCCAACACAACAATTAGGTGGACGCCGCTCAACAACAACAGCAACAACAATCAAAAAAAGGAGCTCTCTTCGCCCGTCCACCGTTCCTCAAACCCCCACAGTCACTATCACCGTTATTTTCTTTCCACAGATATTCAAAAGCACGCCACGCTCACTCCAACACGCGCCCCTCCAGCACAGACCTCGGGATCGTCGGGCCCTCCCAGCACACGCAGTCCGTGATGCGCTCCCGCTGCGCCGCAACGTCCGCCACCTCCTCCCTCAGTCCAGCAGCTCCGTGTACTCCGCGTCCCTCACAATCCCCGGCATGCCCCGGCCGCGGAACACACACAGCGCCACAATGTCGTGCCGCCTCTCCTCCACAATCATGAGCGCAACGCTCAACGCGTACTGGCGCACGTGCTCCATGCGCTGCAACCACATGCCGGTCAGGTTTCCGTCATGCAGTGCATCTTGTTGTCCTCCTACTGCTTGGAGCGGATCCTCACATCCTCTCGATCAACGGTCTGGGTGCTGCAAGGGACTGCCGAGCAGTGCCGCGTTTCTGGAGAACACAAATGTGCGAAAAAAACTGCCACCCTCATACATCTCCGCTCTCTCTCACACACACAAGGGCGGTGTCATAGGGAAAAGAAGTCCGCCGCAAAACGGATGCACGAGGGCACACGCAAAAGCAACGCCATCCACGTCGCACCGCAAGATATAGCCATGCGCCCAGCACACACACGGCCGCAACGAAAGAGACGGGCGGATCCAAGTCCACGCTGCAGTCCTTCACTTCCCTCCGCACCCACGGATTGGCAGAACGACTCACAGTGACGCACTGCACACACCATCCGCTTTCCCTCCGAGCGCACTCAGCAGGCCAGCGCCCAGTCACCCTCGTGCCATCGCAATGGGAAGCACAAACAATCGTCGTCGCGGACCATAGGTGCCACTAGCAGGAAAGAAGAAATGGAGGCATGTCAACGGTCAAGTCAGCAGTGGGACACTCAACGGGACACGGGAACACAAAGTGGCAGTGGGCAAGGCACAACAAAAACAAGCCGCAGTGAATTAACAACAAAAAAAAAAAGAAAAAGTGAGTGTCCGGCATGACCCCAAAAAGAAAAATTAGTGAAAATTGATTCGGCAGGACTTTTATTTCATGTGCCGGGCAGCACAACACGACCGTGTGTTTCTCTATATACATATTGCCTGCACAAGGAAAAAATAATCAAAGTGAAACAAAAAAAAAAAGATTGCACTGTTCCACAAGCCCAAAAAACATTCTTCACATTTTATGCGGCATCCGGCCTGTTCCTCCAATCCTCCTTTCGCGCAGTCCGTGGGACGCACAGCCGCAGGGCCGGCACCGCGTGTGGGCAACAAACAACAAAACAAAGAGGGGAAGCACGTCAAACATGAAAGTGTGCAGCAACCGAACATTACGTAAAAAAAAAAAAAAAAGTGCTTATTACAACAGCTGAACTGCATTAAAAGGGCATTTAAAAGTAAAGACATCAAAGAAATAAAAGATATGTAAAAAAACGCTGGCAGTGAGGCACATATTCTCCGTGAGGCGTCGCGAATCCACACTCCGTGGCTCACAAGACTGCTACGACAGAAATACAATCCCAGTAGAAGCAGCAACACACACGACACACACACACGCACGGTGTTGTTACCAATTAAATCACGCAGTGTCAATTTCACGTCGTTGAGAGAGGCGAGGCGGTCGTCGGAACTCACGCCGCTCCAGACCCTGCAAGGTGACTATTTGTGGTGGGGATTCGTGTCCAGGGGCGTTGTGCCCATTCATTTCTCTTCGGTAATATCCCCAGCAACGTGCTCTCTGACGCTGTCAACTACTCGAATCTTCTCGGATAGTGTCGGAGCCGCTTCCCTCGTCGGAACGGGGACCCTGTCCTTGAGTGCACGCATCGCAGTGGAGTTCAGTGGGCGGCTGTACAGAAAGACGTCCGTCACCGTCACATGAGATTAGTGCCCACCGCACGCGCCAAAGAAAAACCTCAGGACCTCAAGTGGCCTCTCGCCTGTTAACGGCACCTCTTCCTCCCCCAGCGACTCGCCATCAATGTGCACAGAGGCCTTGTTGCCTTGCAGCATGAGTGCCACTTGGTATTCTTTCCTCGGCTCCCAAGTGCTGCTCCGTGTTGTTGTCTTGCCCTCGAACGTCGTCTCCCACTTCTTCTTGTGGCTGTATGACATTCCCATGGTACGATTGGACGCAGTGTCCGCCAGCACCGCAGTCAGTAGAGGCGTGCTCCCGCTCGGAGCCTCTTCGATGGTCACCGACGCTACAAGTGTGAAGTAGTGGCTCAAAGATACATGACGCACATTATCACCCCGAGTGTTCACAGGCCATATTGCCCTGGACTCAAGTCCCGTCAATTGAAACCCATCGTTGTCCTTCGCTGCATTCGTCACCGTTGCATTCAGGCAAAGGTACTCGTCGTTCCACCTGTCTTCACTGGCCGGTGCGTTTGAAAAAACTGCCACCAGACCCGCCGTGGGTCTAGACACGCTGGAGAAGAAAATGCCCTTTTGCGACCAAGTGCTGAGGACGGACACGATTGCACTCAGTTCCTCCGTCAGGCGGGAAATTGAAATGACACTTTTTTCATAATCGCCCCTCCGTTGTAAAAGATGCAAACTTCCATCCGAGTACAGCAGGTTGCCGGCGAGCATCCAATCCGCAGCATTGTCCACGGCAACCGGTCCAACAGAAAACATGCGGTTGTTTTCCGTGACCCAAAGGCAGAGCGCTCTGTCCCTTTTCTTCCCCGAGACATGCCCTCTCTGAGTGTACAGCATGACCTTCCTTTCCTCAATGGTCGCGGTGATGAGGGCATCCACATGCAGGCTTTCCTTCTGAGAGACTCCTGACCGGGCGTTGCCCCACACGCGCGAGAGTGTCCCGATGGCCTCCGTCCACGTTGTCCCCATGCCACGCGACTCGTACACCCTCTGGCCATTCTCGCAATCAACAATCATGGGAAGTGATCCCTCCCATCCGGTGACGCGGGGGTTAAGGCATTTCGCAGGGGAAATGTCTTCACAGAGCGCCCAGGTACTGCCGTTGTCCGTCGAGCAAATGATCATGGAGTAAACGTCTTCTGCTTCATCCTTCGCTATCAGAGGAAACACAAGCGTGCCATCCTCCATCACAACACCTGCACCACCAGAAGCAATGAACTAATTCCAGTCACCTTCGTGAGAAGCAGAAGAGATCGGTTTCGAGAGTGGTTTGGAGTCGTCCCATTTGATCCGTCCACTCTGCCTGCCACCCGTGGGATTCGTGACATCACCCACAAACAGATTCAGCTCCAAGCCGCCCTCTCTCCAGCACCCACTTTCATGGGACACATCAGAGCCTCCCGCAGGAGGAAACACTCTGTTGCCCTTCGTGATTGTTGTAGTGCAGAGCACAACACCCAAACTCTCCTCTCCCTCCGCTGCTCCAAGCACAGTGTGTGCCCTCCATGTATCCTTTTATTGACCTCACCAACAAGAGCGGACCAATCCCACGCAGAGTCGATGTACCCCGCAACCAAGTCAGAAGAAAAAGGCTTACTTAATTGAGCATATTGGCATTCGGCATCCATGCAACCTTCAAAGAAAACAGCAATTACTCCACCAGCACTGACGAGAGAGAGTGAAACAAACGAATCCCTCGCCGTAACGGGAACAATCCCATCCTTCGGCTGCACCGGCATCGTTTGCGGCACAAATAGATCAACCCTCTCCAGCTCCTGAACACGTCGTAAATCACTCATCGCATCATCAATGGGATCCCTTTGGCTCGGTGACAGGCGTGGGCCTTCTTTCGGGTGGGGTCGGAGCCACTTTTATGTTCCGAACAAAGGCAAACTCAGGCTTCGTCTCAGAAGTGCTGGTTGCCGTGTTGGATGCGGGACTCGGATCGACGGTATTGGGTGCGTCAGCCGCCGCAGACTGTCGCCAATCCTCGTTCTGAAGTGACGGCTCAGCATTAACTTGCGGCGCAGTTGTCCCACCAGATTTCGTGTCATCCTTCCCTTCACGGGGTGGCGGCAACTGACAGATGCCCGTCTGGTCAGCATCGCTGCTCCGTGCAGGCGGATGGATGGTTCCATCGGGAGAAAATTGACGCCACCACAATTCATAAGGGCCGGCGTATTTATTTGTCGTCACAGTCATCGTGAAGGCAACGGTGGCCCCTTCCTCTTTCGTTGCACAGGTAGCAGCACAGTTGCTACATGTGTGCACCGCATTGGCCACATGGCACATAGTACCCAGCTCACCATCTCTGCTATGCATGCGCACATCAAAGCCACTGAAAGTATAATTCTCATGCTGAGCCTCAGCACTGGCAGCAGAACACTTCTTCCACGCCCACACACACGCACGCACGCGACAGCTCAGGCTGCCGTCACTCTGAGGACACGACACATCCACCGGCACAACCACCGTATCCGCATCGCCAGATACATCTCCAGGGCTTCCAGTCGCCGTCACACACACGGAATTGCAGCAGCAGCAGCACAAGAGCGCAAGGACCAACACAGTGCACACCATCGTCATCATCGCAGTCATCATCACCCGTAGTGGAGTCCCTGGAGCCAATCAGCTGATCCGTGAGACAGAAGGAAAAAATAATGCAACAAGAGGGAGAGGAACGAGGCACAGCGGATACAGCGAGAGAGAGCAGACAACATGAGGAGAGGGCAGCAGGCCCAGCCGCACAGTTCACACACCACGAGACGGCATCCACGCAAGAAAGGCACACAACGCCAGCAGCCACCCACCATGCAGGAGGAGAAGAAATCCAGCACCATCTCCCCCAGCTCATCTCGACAGCCCCAGGGAAATGGCCAAAACAACGCGGCCACCACACAACGCACACGGAGCAAGCAGACCCTCATCCATCCATGACGCGGCAAAAAAATTTCCTGCCATCCCGCCCTCAATGGGAAACGGAGCCCAACTCAACGCAGTCACACGCGGTGCACCACACCCGCAGGAAAGGAGACTCGGACTGCGCACTCCCTCTCTCTCCCTTCTCCTCATGGCCACGGAAGAAGAAAACAGCCGCCACACGCAACTGCCAGCATGCACCACAAAAATATCATTCAAATCCACTGCAATGTGCATCTTGTTTGTGTGGTTGTGTGTGCCTGCAGAAACACAAAGCAAAGAAGTAGAAGAGAGGGAGCAGAGTATGTGGAGAGACGCACAAAAAAAAAGTACGGCGGAGGTGCGTGGCGGAAACAACAACAAGAAGACCGCTCAAACTCATGACTGCACTGCAGTGCAAGCAGTGACAATTCACACAAGATTTATTTTAAAAAAAAAAACGTTGCCCTTCGTCTTATATAAACCCCATCACACAAAATAATTACAAATGAAAAAGAAATCGTCCATTACTGTTCCACACAAATTTAAAAAGCTGCCGGCTGCCTTGTGGCCACACCAAACTGTCTGCATATTTTGTCCGAAGATAAAAATAAAAATTAAATATTTAAATGTCTTTCAACCGTCTGACCCTCCATGTGTCCGCACATCGTTTATATTTCATAGGGTCATCTGCGTGTTGCTGCCCCCCTCAGCCCTTTCATCGGCGTGCGAGTGCGGCCCGCAGAGCACATTCACTCGTGTGTGTGGGGACTGAGAGAAGCACGCAGACATGACGGGAGTCGCGTCACTCCATCGGGAGAGTGAGCGCAGCAAAAGAAAAAAAATCATCAGGAGGGGAAAGAAATACTGACGAAGCCGACACCGAAGGGTGCGCCAGCGCAAAAAAAAAAACGCAAAGAAAATCCTTAAAAAGCGGCAGGGTGTGGCTGTGTGTGTGGTGCTGCGGGTGGCTGCCAGCCCTGGCAGCAAAGAAAAAAAAAAACAAGAGGGGAAGAAATGTGTGCTCCGCCCCACAGGCCCTCGTCGCACGCCCACACGTCACGGCTCCCTCAGCGCGCCGTTCGTCGCGGCCCCCCCTCATGCGTGCAGCAGGCGAGGCGCACAGGGCCGTCGTCATGAGCGTGTCGGTGGGTGTGCGAGTGGAGCAGTTGGGCGGGAAACACACGGCACCCCTCACAGGAAGAGTGCAGCAAGAAACAATTAAAAAAGGGAATGAGGGATAAAAAATTAAAACAGCAAAACAGAAATATTAAAAAACTAAAAAATGAAAAAGAAAAAAAAACGCAAAAAAAAGTTTAAAAATTACGCACAGAAAATAAAAAGAAAAAAGAAAAACAAAGTAGTAAACAGTAAATTAAATTTAAAATAAGCAAAAAAGGGGAAAAATTATTTGAAGAGCAAAATTAGTTCTTGGACGCAATTCGGTGCAGGGGAGGTCGCAATTGTCCCACGCAACAGCCAGTCACTCCTCACAGAGCCGCAAACCCCCACAGTCCCAACAGCAGAAGCAGCAGCGATGGCAGCAGTCCGCTCCCACGCATTTTGCCAGCATCGGTGTTATTCCCCTGCGACACATTTCCGAGGCTGCTGCTGAGTGCTGTAGCATTTATTTCCCTGACCTGTGTATTAACCTCCTCCTCCTGCCCATTCGTTCCTCCTTTTCTTGTCTCCATCGTTGGCTCGCCATCAGCAGTAGAACCGCCACCCACAGTTGGATTTCCATCGGGAGATGTCCCTGACGTCACCTGCAATACGGACTCCTCTTCGGCTGAGGAAGTACTGACAGTGGACACCGCTGGTGCGGATGCACCGCCACTGCCCGCACCACTGCTCCCCATCGACTGTCCCTGTTCCGTCAGCTGTGTTCCGGCAGGAGTGGACGAAGTTTCGGTTTGCTGAGCACTCGGGCTCACCGGAGGGATGGGAGGTATAATGGAATCAGAAGAATCTGGTGAAGGCTTCGACGGATTCTCTTCCAAAGGTGGAGTGGAGTCTTTATTCGGGTTGAAGGCGCCAATCTCTTCAGAGCTCAAAGGGCGGTTGTACAGCAGGACGTTCGTCACCGTCACGGTCACGTCTTTACTCCCTGCATCATCCGCGTCGCCTCCAATGTAGAAGTGGGAGATCCCTTTCGAATCTGTATTTCCCAATGCACACGGCGTATCCCCACCCACACGCTGACCATCGACGTACGCGGAGCCCTGGGTGCCGTTCCGCAGCAAAATTACGACGTGTTGAGTTTTACCTGGCTCTGAAGCGCGGCTTTGCTCCCCAGAATTCGGTCCGTCACTGCACAGTAGCTTCCACTTTCCTTTCTCGTAAGACAACCCAAAAGATTTCTTTTGTTCATCATTCATCTTCACACCCATCAATGGAATAGGGGTATCTCCCTCCGGTACACTGTCGATGGACACCGTCGCCACAAGAGTGAATTTGTAGTTCGCAAAGTGGTACAGCTGATTCTCCCCCTGACTGCCAACAGGCCACTCCGCCCACGCTCCCTGGAACCTCACGCCCTTCTCTGAATCCACTGTGGCCGCTTCTGCCTTTTTCTTTTCTCCATCATTCCCCTTTACTGTGGCGTTCACTCCGAGGTACTCGTCCCTCCATGTGTTATCAGAGAAGTTGCCGGACAAAAAGCCAACCAGCCCATCGATCGGCATGGCAGGGCTGCAGGCAGTATCAATTGAGGTATCCTGCACAGCACTCCCAGAGGGGCACAGCTTGGAGACACGCTCGTCCACTTCCTTCCAGGTCTTCAGCACCTCTTTCACCCGCTCCAGCTGATCAGTGAGACGCACAGACCAAAGACTGGGTGATGATGTCGTCCCATCGCCTTTCTTCTCGTACAGCGCAATCAACTCTCCCTTATTATCTTCACCCTCAGCACTTTTGTACAGCAGGGAGCTGGCGGCAGCGTCCTCATCATCGCCCGATACCGGCCCAATGTCAACAATGTGCGTATTGTCTGTCAGCCAAAGATGAAGTACGCCCTTTCCATTGCCTTTTTGATGGCCTTCTTCGTTCTTACTCGAATACACCGGCAGGGTGATGAGCATCACTTCTTTCTTATCATCTCCAACACCTTTAATCATCGCTGTGATGAACCCGCTTGTAACGGTCTGCACTTTTCCGCCCTTGTGTTTGTTTCCCCAAACACGCGAGAGTGTCCCGAGTGCCTCCGTCCACGAATCCCCCTTGTCATCGGACTCGTACACCCTGCGGCGGCCATCATCACACACAGTCATCATCATGAGTTCTTTGTCCTTCTCCCGCTCCACGACGGAGGGATCACCGCAGCCATCGGCAGACATCCCCTTCGGCAGCACCCAACCCGCAGCATCCGAGGAGTATATGATCAGCGAAACAGTCTTTCCATCCTTTTCTGTGCCTTTCACTTTCTTCGTCCCTTCCACAGGAAACACAAGCGTGTCGTCATTCATCTTAACACCCGATCCACCACCACCAATAAGCTTTGTCAAGGATTCGTGTTGTTTGCCTTTGTAATTCCACGGGATAGCATAAGTGTCGTTCCAAAGGATCCTTTTTTTACTTTCTTCCTCCTTACTGACGTTCCCTTTCACCAGCATGAGTCCCCAGTCGCCTGCATCGGCTGCCTGATCATCGGCGGTAAGTGTCCAATTGTAACTTCCAGCAAGCATGTAAATATCACTTCCCCGCACGACTGTTGTTGGTCGGCCCACATGTATTCTCGTCTGGCTTTGGGAATCAGCCCGATCTGCTATACGGCAGGTGACTTTCTCTTTTTCGGAGGAACATTCCTCCAGTACTTGTGTCTTCACTTCAGTTGTAGCCAACTCCTTCCTTCTTTGTTCACCAGTCAACGCCAGGAGCTTCGAGGCAATCCCAGTAAAAACTTTTTCAGTACCCTCCTTGCAATGCGCCTCGGCAACGGCAAACACATCACCATCCATCTCAACAAGGCTGGGAACACGGAGCGAACTCACTTTTTCTTCTCCTTTCTTATCTCTCCAAACAAAATATGTTTCCTTTGCATTTCCCGAACCTGGCGCCGTCACCCCACTGGATGCAGCCCCACCAGTGTTGCAGCACAACATCATGACAAGTAGAAGCAGCACCGCAGAACAGAAGTGATGCCGGGACATTCTGGGCCTCTGCTGCTCACTCTCTCTTCCTTCCCTCCTCCTTCCGCTGGATCCGGTCACGCGGCGAAGGCTGTGTGTGCGGGGTGCCTTCACAGAAGCAACACGTGAGAGCATATAAATATATGTGTGTGGGCGGTGTGTGTGCTGCTGTTGGTCCTTTCAGTGCTTTCGAAGTTCACAGTAGCGTTTAGCGCTTGCTTTCCTTCTTAGTGTGTAATTGAGAAAGAAATAGAGAGAAAACATTCCAAGAAAAGAGGGTGAAACAGTGAACACAGCCACCCATCCACAGTGACTGGCATCATTATCCCAGCCGCAGTCACCCCCAACAAAAACAACAACTCACGCACAGAGACACACGGAACAGGAGAAGGAAGAACAGTGCACCGGGAACACACAGCGACGGTCACCACCACCAACAGCAGCCACGGCGTGTGTGTCGTTATTCTTCACGCATCAGCGGACACAGAACAACGCCCAAACAAAAAGTAACCGGCGAAATGCAAAACAGCACAGCCGCCCTTCACAGCACCCACGCGCTGCCGCCAGTCGTATTGCTGTTGTCTCCTCCAACGCACCCGCACATCACCCCGCACAGCCGGAAAATCCCTCATCAACCGATACACAGCGCAAAAAACGCGTCGGCAGGTGCAGCAGTTGTTATGCGGGAATCGTTCCACATTTGTCTCAGGCACTTTCAACGCCACACGACTCACTGGCTGCACGCCGCAAACATAACAACCGCATCACGTCGAAGTGACGCATTGCGGGCACACGACCTCCTTCCTTTCGAGAGCCGCCACAGAAAGAATCTTGTGCGTGTGTTCTCAGCGTACACGCCACTCCACAGCGTGTGCAACATGGTGTGTGTGTGTGCATGTGCTTGTGGTTGTCGAGGCCTACACTTGCAGAGCAGCTGTGCGCCACAAGAGAATCAGAAGAAAGCAACGGCAGAGAGAGGCAGATAGCACACACGCAAATTACTCATATCATCACACACAAACACACACACGCAGCCCGCGGAATGGGTGCTCTCAACCACAAAACAATGAAAAACAAAACAAAAAGCCGAAGCGTGGGACGACCAGCGCACACACTCTCATTGCTCCCGTAAAGCAAAACACACACACAGGGAGAGAGAGAGAGGTCGCCCACTCAATGCAATAAAAACAAAACAGAAACAGTTACGGTGCTCCGCCCATGCAGTCAGGCAGGACGGCAGCGGTGCGTGTCGTGCAAAAGAGAGCACCAACGGGCCTGCATGGGTGTGCATGCAATATATACAATGGGCACATTATGTGTGTGCTTCGTGGGGTGAGGTGAGGGCGAGAGTCCATGCAACGGGACACACACACAGAGAGTGGGTGAAAGACGAGTGTGTGTGCGGGCGGTGCATGGCGCTCTCTCACTCACTCTCACGCGGCCACCACCGCAGCAGCAGCCGCACACGCAACAACGACAAGAAGAAGCAAAAGAGGGGAGGTGGTGTGGGAGATCGCGGTGCTGCTGCCACTGTCGCCAGTCGCCGCCGTTGTGGCGTTTGTGGCTGGAACTGATTCCTTCGGATTGGCTTCCCTATTTTCATTTTGTTTTTCTTCTCGTGTCCCTGTACCATCAGCTGCTGGATCATTGTTCGGGGTGCTGACTTCAGTGCTCTTGTCAGCCCCATTATTGGCGGCATCACCGTTTGCCGTGGGTGATGGTGGCCTTGATCCTGCATGGTCGGCAGATGGCTCATTGTGTTGATTGGCTGTGATGGGGGCAGCGCCCTCAGTTTGTGAATTGTGGTTTGACTCAATGTCGCTTTGGACGCCTTTTGGCTGTTGCACGTGTCCTGAATCCTCAGTGCGGGACCGTTCATTCACTTGCGTTGTTGGTAGTGTTGGTGGTGTTGGTAGTTGTATTTCTTTCAGTTTCACTTGACTTTCACTTGTCACTGTGAGTGCCACATTATTGTTGTTTTCTTCGTCTCCTCCGGTTTCTTCTTCTGACACATTTGTTTCTTCCGTTTCAACTTCATCTTCTTGTGTCGGCGTGTCAACGGAGGATTCAGTACTCTCGGATTTTTCTTTCAAATTGGGTTCTTTGCCACCCTGAGGGCCGTCGCTGCCAGATGAAGAAGGTTGATCAGCTCTTTGTTGTTGGGACTCAGTTGTCTTACCGTCCTTTTCATCCCCCTTACCTCCTGCCTCTTTTCCTTTTGTATCCAACTCTTCTGACTGCCTCTGTTCTTCTGTATCTGATCCTCCAGAGCCCAGCGGTAGTGCTGCTGGTGGTTGAACTGCGACACCTCCTCCTCCTGAACCAGTCGCCTCTTTGCCCAATGTCTTATTTTCCAATTTATTATCCTGCAATGTTTCCTTCGTCTTTCCCAGTGGGCCTGTACCACCACTCAATCCTTCACCATCTTTTTCCCCAGCTTCAACCGCATTTATTAATCCCACTCGAGCGGATAGCAACCCGCAGTCCGCCTTTATAGACACGCCTTCATTTCCACTATTACTCGTGTGCCTCAACCCGTTCCCTCCACCCTCACTGCAGTAGTCGTCCATCGCGTGTCCAAAAACCGCACCGCACCACAGCACGCATATGGCGCCCACCAGCAGCAAATGACCAGTCATCATCGCCATCACTCCTGTCACTTGCGTGCAGCCTTCAGCACAAACTAGCTCCCTGTCAACGCAGAGTGAAGGCAACAAAAGACCCGGCACAGTAAAAAACACCACCAGCAGCAGCACACATTTCACGAAAAATATTGAACCAATGAAAGGCAAAAAAAGCAAAACGCCCTGCAAAAACTTAACAACAAGGAAAACACACAAAAAAAGTAAAAGTAAAACAAATGTAAAAAAGCGGCAATAAAGTAAAACAGTAAAAACACAAAAAACAAAAAACTTTAACTAAGCGGCTCCAGTGCGCATGCGTATGAGTGTGTCTGGAATGCGTCCACGTAAACGGTCGCATGAGTGTCGAGCATATGCGTGGGTCCGGGATACGTGCCAAGTGACGGATACAGGGAGCAGCAACGCGGAGCGCACAGCAGCGAAGCAAAAGCAAATGAAGCAAAACACGATCATCATAATTACTCTTACTTTTTACATCGGACCACAGTGGACGCGCACATGTCCCAGTGGCTGAGTGCTGGCACGCACAGCCCACACACACCTCTTCAGCCCAGAGCGGTGTACGCCAGCGCGGATACGGCAAGCAGCAGCGGGGTACACACCCACGCAGAGCTGCCAAGGCTGCCGTCGATTTCGCGAAGATGTGACGGTGTGCGGGTGGAAGTCGTGGTTGGCGCAGCGGTTGTCGTGCTGGTTGTCGTTGTTGTTGGCGCCTTTGTTGTGGTGGTAGTCGTATTTGGTTTTATTTCCGCACCGGCTTTTTTACATCCGCCGTCTCCACCAGCGGACTCGGCGCACTCCCGGGCTCGGTGCCGTAGCGGTTTCTGTATTTCTTGCATCTGCATCGCCCATCGTATTTTTTAACGCTCCCGCATTGGACGCAAGTTGCGGCCCTTCTGAAGCGGTCCCGCTTGCTACCCCCGGCGTGGGTTTCAAATTACCTGTTGGTTGTTCCGTTTCCCCTGCGTCCGTTAGCTTTGGCGCGCCTGATTCCGGCGCTGGCTTGGTCCCCGGACCTTTTACACCCGGCTCCTTTGGCGTAGTGGGATTTGGAGTCGAACCACTAGCTGTGCCCTCTTCGCCCGCCATCACGCACACGGATGGGCAGCAGCACAGGGCGAGCACCAACAGGGCGCACAGCAGACGGCACATCGTCATCATCGTGAGTGTGGTCGTTCAGTGGTGTGGAGCTGATCTGCACAGTGAGGGACATGGAGAGCAACAGGAGAGACGAGAGGTGCGGCAGACACACACAGAGGGCACACCACATGAGGAGAGGGCAGCAGCCAGGCATGCACCGTACGCCGCACACCACGTACGACACACACTCCATTCCACGGCAGCAGGCACACACACACACACACACACAGCCCTGCCGCAACACCAACACACAGACGGAGGAGGAAGAAAGAGAAGCAAACAGGAGCGGCACACAAGGCTCCACCGCACGCACACACGGCGAGAGCGGTCCGTCGTGTCGGCACCCCTCACGGAGGGTACGCACAAACAAAAGAGGAGGTGCAGCGCACACAGCAACACAAAAGCAAAGTAACAATAAAAAAGAAGAGATCCTCGCACACCGCGTGAATTGTTGGTCCACGGGAAGTGCAGCCAATATTTTTTTTTTCTACTATTACCAGCGCGTCCAGCTATACAATGCCATCTGGGTGCCGAGGAGGCGGTTGAGCAGCGACAAAAGTTTCCTGCTGTGAAGCAACTGCCATTGAGAGAACTTTTCGGTGCGGAGGTCCTGTTCAATGCCCAGCCGTTGGCGCACAGCCAAGGTGCCTGGACATTCTAGAAGCAGATGGTGCAAGGTTTCCTGCGGGCCAATTGGCGTGCTTGTGGAAGCAGGCTGATCCTGCGGCAGCAGAGATCGCCTCCTGGCACTGCTGCTGCGGTGTCGGTTGGCGTCTGGGTTGTGTGCGCAGCGACTTCTGTGCTGTGCGGTGCTTCTCCGTGTGGGGAAAACCATGTCACAGAAATCGCATTTGAGCTCGGGAAGCGGTGGAGGATGTTCCGGGTGAAATGACCGACAGTGACTGACGAGATTCGAGAATCCCGTCAATATAGAATCGCAGTACGGACATTCCTCCTTCCGACGGCGTGTGACGGTCCGTCCCCTTACTGGAGAGACGTCTTCCTCCCTTGCCGACGGGGGAACAGTGCCCATCCCCGGTGCAGTCGGATCGTTGTTAGAGCGCATATATGCAGACTGTTCTGGTGAGATGTTGCAGAAACGGCATTGGTTCGTGCGATCTCTCACAGCCCAGTATAGTCGACCCCAGAGCCCAGATTCGCCGCGCCTTGCCCTAGCGAGGTGAACCAGTTCTTGACGGTGAAGAACTTCCTGAGTGATCAGGTCCTTACCGCTGAGATCGGATGGCCTTGTGCCGCAAAGCAAGTAGCGATGAGTGTCTTGACGAATGGTACTACGCCACTTGTTGGTGAGCAGGGTAGTAAAACATGTCAGCAGATCCGTATGCCATAAAGGTGCGATTCCATGCTCCGTGTATTGTCCAGATGCCATAGCCTGCGTCGCATACTGATCTGCAAGCTCGTTAGCATGTATTCCACAATGTCCGTAACAAAACTGCAGGTGCACAGACCAGCCAGCACACGTCAGTGTTAAGAGACGCTGCCAGATCTGATCTTCCGTCCAGTCTGTCTGACTGAGCGGGCCCTTGTTTAAAGCCGCAAGAAGAGACTGACTGTCTGTAACCACAAGCAGGGTTTTATGCCTGTGTCGGATGCGAGGGATAATCAGCTTCTCCAGGGCTAGAAGCAGCGCGCGGGATTCCGTCCTGTAGCTGCATGGGCGTGCACCGCAGTTTATACTGGCCTTTTCTATTATCTCCGATGAATTGAGGGATGCAAGCAGTATTCCAACCCCGGCTGACTTGGGAACGTCGACACCGCCATCCGTCGCGAGTATCCACGAACGATGGCTGTGCAGCGCTAGAGCCTCTTCGCTGACTCTGCGCTTTTCCCTTGTCAGCTCTTCCTCGTCAGTTATTGAGTGGTCTATCGGAAGTTCCACGCCAATGGTGACCCGGCGTGCGGAGGCCGCAAACCAGGGAGGAATGGAGCTGCGAAAGAGCCGCTCTTCGCGTGGTGAGCTCTGAGTGATGCCATAGTCCTTTGTGTATGCGTCTACGAAGGCATATAGCTCGTCCCGAGATAATGGCGAGATGCGGAAACCTGCGCGAGGCGGTGGCTCAGACGGAGGTCTCCGCATCCAGTCCATCTGACATGCGCGTGTGTTCTCAAATATGGAGAGCCGCGCGCGCAGGCAAAGGACGTGAAGCGGCGGCATATCAGCCTCTAGAAGTGCGGATTCCGGGTCGACAGTGCTCGGAACTCCGCTGACAATGCGTGCCAGAGTTGCGTACGTCTTCTGCATCTCATTTTTCGCTGAATCCGTCGCTACTGCCCATATGAGCTCGCTGCCATAGCGTAATTTGGAAGCGCCGTATCCAATGACGAACGTGCGTGGGTCATGTGGAGATGGTCCCGCCTCTTTATGCGCCATGCAGCGTAGCTGCGATATCCGTTGCGAAGTGGCAGCGCATTGCTTGGTGGCCGCCACATTTAGCGTCCGTCGTGGATCGAGATCCATGCCAAGAAGCTTCGTAGTTCGCGATGCCCCCATGGTCATGACTGGGATTTCACATCCAGCCACTACCAGGGGCCACTTTCCTTCACGATCATAATCTGACTCCGTGTGCGTGGAGAGTGCGAACCAAGCGGCTTCACACTTTGACGGGTTGATGGCCAGGCCATTTTCCTGACTCCACGCATGCAGTTTTTCAAGAACCATGTTGGCAGTGGGAATGGCGTCTTCCCGGGACTGCCCCTTAACGATAATAGAGAGGTCGTCCGCATACATGTCTGCTGTGACACCCGCAAAGCTGTTCAGCAGATTGAGAAGTGGGTGTACGTAAAGGGAGAACAAATATGGTCCCAGTACGGACCCCTGAGGAACTCCTCGCAGCATGGGACGCCGATCGCTGTTTCTGTTACCAACTCGTGTCTTCGCGTAGCGACCACATAGAAAGTTTCTAAGCCACCTTCTACAATTCACCCCCGGAATATTAGCCAGCAAGCGACTGAGGACTCGATGATCTATGGAGTCAAAGGCCTTGCTGAAATCAACCAACACCAGCAGAGTCCGATGGGGTCTGTAGTGGAGTTGATTACCAATATCGCTCTTCTTGGGAAGGTTCACTTGAAAATAATGATTTCTATTATGCTCCACTTCGTGTATCAGGTGTGCCAGCTGCATCGTCGTGGTACGCATACTACGACACGCATACTGGTGGGGGTGAGGCGTCCACACCCAAAGCAATCTCTTCAGTACCATTTTCTCAGCAACCTTACTCACAATGGAAGTAAGGCTGATGGGTCGATATGACTCAAGCAGTTCCGGCGACTTGCCGGGTTTTAAGAGTGGGACGATGGTAGCGCGTCTCCACTCAGCCGGGATCGTACCGGTCGTCCAGCTGTGGTTAATGCAACGAAGAAGAAATCGAAGACCCTTTGACGAAATATGTCGCAGTGCCTCACTGTAGACTTCATCCGGTCCGGGGGCCTTGCCATACGGCGTATTACGTAGCGCAGCAAGCAGTTCCGTACGATTAAAAGGTGCATCAAGAGGGGAGTGAAGATGAGCAAATAAACCAGATGTGGTGGCAGCTTCGTTTTTATCCTGTGGATCTGAACTAGATGAGAATGAAAAAACTGAATTAGATGTAGCGGCAGACTCGTAGTTGTTCTGCGGCTCAGAAATACAAGAGATAAGAGAGGTAGAAGAAACTAAGCTAGATGTAGCGGCAGACTCGCTGTTATTCTGCGGCTCAGAGCTAGAAGAAGTAGAAGAAACTAAGCGGGATGTTGCGGCAGACTCGCTGTTTTTCTGCTGCCTAAAAAGAGAAGAAGAAACAATGCCCAAAGATGGGTTCTGTCTTTTGATGCCTTTGGAAAACCTTACTGCCTTGTGAGAGGGG